TTGGCAATTAGTCTTGGAGAAGGACAACTCAATTCAAAGCTAGAGAGGCTGACAACTCCATGCCATAAAAAGCTGCTACTTGCTACAGAAACCACAGCAGCAACACCTCGTGTTGAGGATGTGACTCTATTCTCTAGAGAAGAATGACACTGAGGAGGAGTCCTTAGTAACTCTGCTGGTTGTATCTTTAAAGTATATAATAAAATATTAAATACCTAACCTCTACACCTTGAAATTTATTATTTCTAAAAGATGTAAATTACAATATAATTTGTAACACTTGTCCTCTCCACCTGAAAGTGTTGCAAAATTCATCTAGCAAACACACACACAAAAAAGTCCAAGTTAATTCTTTTAATTTCTAAATGGCTGAAAACAATGGAATCATTCTTGATGTGATTTAAGTTTCAAAGTCAAAACTTGATTCAGTATCTAGTTTTGGGATCACAATAAAAAGATGAAGCAAAATATTGCCAAATTTGAATTTAAATTAATTTATGTATGTTAGATTTGATTTTATTTATTATTATTAGCAATATAAATATTTTCTGATTGTAACACCTGAGAAAGAAAGATGAGAAAAGAAATAACTCAATAAATAAAATAAATTGGATAAGGTTGTTTATAGATATTTTATGGTGATTTTCTAAGCTTAGATGTGGCACAAAGTCAAAAGTGTGGGGAACCCAGTGAGGATCAAACTCACTACTCAGTCATAATTGATTTAGTGAGACAAGCTTGCTAACCATTACATCATGTCGAGGTGCCCAATGATTTTCTAAGCATAGTTTAGATGTGGCACAATGCTGGAAGTGTGGGTCACCCAGTTAGGATCAAACTCACTACTCCATTGTAATTGATCTAATCTGAAGTAGAATATGAAGTCATAATGCTATTTATGTTGATTGAGAAGGATAACATATAAGAGAAATGAATTAAAAAAAAAAAATCTTCATATCTGGTGAGAAAGATGGTAAAAAAAAAAAAAATAGAGTTTGGTCTTTGTTATGGGGCTTACATAACCTTATCATTTATGGTAGCCAACACTGCTTACATAAAACCTTTTCATTCATAGAACACAACACTGCTTACATAAAACCTTTTCATTCATAGAACACAACACTGCTTTCAGCCTGCACCAATTTGGTATGTTAGTCTTCATAGTAACAAATTCTATTGAGGAAGGCTACTTTATATTCAGCAGCATGCATTGTCTTTAGTCATTGGGATCAGAAAATAACTGATGATTGGATGGAAAATAACACCTGAATGTGCTGGATATTGATATATAAACTCATCAAGGGTAGCAATATGTAACCAAGTGATTGCTCTTGAGAAATTTGATCCCTTTCAAGAGTATAAAAGGATGGGTGAATTAATTGTTAACAATACAGAAAATAGAATCTTCAAGCAGGGTTCAAATTCCAGCTGAGACAGTTTGTGTTCACTTAAATGCTATTACCCTTGGGAAAGAAAGAAACCTATCTCTTCATCAGAAAAACATTGGTTGCCAAGCAAAGCCTGAGAACCCAATTTAAAAGAAGGGCAACTTTGAATTTGAAACCATGAAGAAAGCAACAGGAAACCATTTTGCACTGTTCTTAAGATAGTAAAGTTTATAGATATTAAAGAAAAAGATGGAGAGCCATGATCATGTATGTCTTAGGACATAGCACTGAAGAATAAAGGGATGATGTTTTTATTGGTTTGGCTAAGAATGAAAGAAGAAAAAAGTTTATATTTAATAAAAGATGTTAGACATCATCATTATCATGGCTTCACAAAATGAAGATCAAGGAGTCTGCTCATGTTGATTGCAGACATGTTTGTGGCTGATAAGGCCAATGTGGGAAAGGCACACATGTTCACAGCAGTTGTACATCAAATGGAATAATAAATCATACCCAATTCTGGTCTAGTTGATTAATTCCATCATTACCATATTCCTGTAACAAGCCCTTCTCAATGATTACTGAATTCTAGTGTCAGATTGTTTTCAGAATGTCATGTCATTTGCAATGGGTGATACTATCTCATTGTACCCATCATACCACAATTGACCTTCCTTTTTTCCTCCTTTTTAGATGTTAGCAAATATTAAAAACATTTGTCAATTCTTATAGACAATGAAGTTCATTTATTCCATCACAATTTTTTTTAAATAAAATAAAGTGAAGGATATTTGGGTGAACCAGACAACTGGCTAACATGAAATTCCATCATTTCTACATACCAATTTAATTTATAAAATTTATTTCACTTGGAGATTTCTTTGACCTTTGCTCCCACTCACTGCAAATTTGAAAAGAATTATAAATAAAATTTGACCAGAATTTAACTGAATTAATTTGAAATTAATAAGTTAATCTGAATTTAAATTTCTGTTCAAACCCTCTATTCGTTTTATTATAAATTGTTTCTGATCCTATACAATATGAGAAAAAATAAGCTATATGCATCATAATGGCTGAAGCCATTTGAGATGACAAATTCGCATTCTTTTCCGATTGCTACAAAGTTAAGCTGTGTTAGGTTTCATCATTACTTGGATGAGTGACTCTGAGAAAATCAACACCTCTTGAAAGCAAATCCTATCTATCTATCTATCTATATATATATATATATATATTTTTAGGTTTCACTCTAGAATATCAATTTCAATACCAAGAGATGAGAATTAGAACAAGAAATTTGTGACCAGTTTTTTAGTTACAAAAGAAAATTAATCACTTACAAAAACAAATCCACTAGCCACGCTGTCTAGTTGTATAGTGTAAACACAATGTAGTATACAAATTGCTAATTTTGTCATTTATTTGGAGAATTTTGTATTTCATTTTTAAGTTGACTAATTGTCAGCATACTTTAATTACTTTAAATTATTGTTCTTGATTATTAAAGATGTTATTCTAGACACAACCTTGATCAAAATGTGTCTAGAATAACATCTTTAACAATGAAGATGAGAACTGTAATTCAAAATAATTAAAGTCTGTTAATTTGAGAAGCATTTGATTTGATGTCTATGCGTTACAGAGGTGCTGAAAAATTTGTGCATTTCTTTTTTTAAAGTTTTCTTCAACTTGGTCGTTTGTTAATTCCTACATACCTTCACCCTCTACTAAATTCACAAAACTTCTGTTCCTAGAATGTATGTCCTGATTATAGTTCAACTTGAATTTTTTTTTTGTTTTTCAAGTAAATCTTTCAAACTCATTTCTTTTGTTACAGATATATGCAGTTATGCTTAAAGTATTTTCTCCAGGTATGTTGGGTAATATTTTTACTTGCCTTCATATTCTGAATACACTTTTTAAAGCTTGAAAATTTTTCTTTCAGTAAGTATATTTGAAAAGTGTTGATAAAATTGTCTTGTCTTCCCGAGAAAATTACTTTCAATTTGGTCATAATTTCTGCTATTATACAGAAAATCATTTTGTGATTTTCTATATTTTAGGTCCTTGTTATGAAAACTTATCTCTTCACTTAAAAGATTGCTGCCAAATAAGCACTTAAACAATTATTATAGTTTTTAAGAATTTTATTAATCTTTAAAGGCCCAGCTTTTTCAGAAAGTGATTGCTATAATCTTTATAGATTTTTTTGTCTTTAAAACTCATTTGCATCGGTTTATTCACTATACTTGCTGTATACAAAGAAACTGTACATTGTTTCAAGTCGATTTATCATCTAGAAAAAGTTGCAGAAGTAATTCTATTGCAAATTTGATCAATATTAATGACTACTTATTTTTTAATTCTAAAGCTTTATACAATTTTTTCTCTCCACTTTTTTTTTTTTTTTTTTTTAAATCTTATTGGAAGTAAATTTGAAAAGCTAGAGATTAATGTATATGTTAATAACAAATTAATGTATAAGTTAAAAGGAAGTAAGTTGGGCAGAGAACTTTTCAGCAACTCTTTGTATATGCATATATATGGATGATGGGGGTCCTGAGCTGTGGTGAAGGCAATCCATCTAAGAGAAGGAAAACTCTGAATTAAAACCCCTGCAATCTTGTAGGATTTCCTTGGTTGAAAAAAATCACTGTGAGTAGTCAACTCTTATGTAACACACTCTAGCAGAGTTAAGACATTTTTGTTTCAATTTGTATCTGGATTACTTGACTTTGTTAGGGTGAGCCTGTGCTTATGTTGTGCAAGTTGTATAAAACTTAAGTTATGCATGGACATTTCTAACATGTGTAAATTTAATGTGTTAGAAATAGTCATACTTGATAAGTGAGTTGACCGCCCTCACATATATATATATATATATATATATATATATATATATATATATATATATATATATGATAATGAAGATTATTTACACCTAAAAAACATGCTGACCAGTAAATTACTGGAAGATAATGCATGTAAGACAAAGTGATCTTTGCAATAAAAATGCTCAATTTATAAACAAAAAAAGAAAGAGCAAAATCAGTTAATAGATAAATAAAATTTAAACGCTTTATCTTCTGAAGTTTTGCAGATGCAGGACTTCAAGTTGGAAGATAAGTGATTTGAACTTTTATCTATCTATCATATATATATATATATATATATATATATAAATAAATAAAACTAAAAAGTAGCTTTTGATGATATTAAAATCTACAATCAACTTTATTCAGCCTTTATGCAAATATGAGGAGGGTGCTAAAAAGTTCTCTGTCCAATACACTTTTCAAAGTCTGAGCAAACAGAATTTTTTTTTTTTTTTTGAAGGTACTCATAAACTGAAAACTTTTTAAACTCACATTGGCTTTGCTTTTTTCATTAGTCATATCTATTATCATGTGAGTCTGTAGTGAATAGGGAAAAATATCAGCAGATCTTGCAATAACCATTCAAGTGTTTGTCATGTGATTACCTTGCTATGTTTATATTCTAGTTATTTCTTTGACACAAGGTCAACATTCCTTCAGTCTTCGATGAAAATAGAGCTTATTTTAATTGTGAGGCCATTCTGTAAACATTTGCACTATTCTAAACTGTATGGCCATATCACATTGAAACACCAGTTCTCATTTGATCACCAAAGTTAAGCAATGTTAAGCCTGGCCTGTACTTAGATGGGTGACCACTTGGGAATACCAGGTGATATAAGCCCCTTCTTGCATGGTAGAATAATGACCCATTTCTTCCCATGAACAACAAAGGGAAAGATTTGGAGAAGGCCTATATCCAACAAAAAAAAAATTCACTGGAATTTTAAGAAGAAACTGTATTTTAAGCACATTTTTGACACAATTAGTTGTAGTGAAATAATCTTTCTTCTCATTAAAAAAAATCTTAACTCCTGATTGTCTCTCTTATTTTTTCTTCTTTCTTTTTTAATTATTTCACTCCAAGCAAGGCAATGAATCCACTAAGTTGCAAGGGGTTACTGAGTGTTAGAGAATATGAGAAATAAAATACTATTAAGGACAGATAACAATACAAGAACAGGAATTAAGAAGACAGAAGATAACGATTGACATTACATTTAAATTTTTAAAGACCGAAGTTGACTGGAAAGCAAGAAGTCGGAAGAAAGTTCCACAAGAATGAATCTTAACTACTATATATTTTTTTTACTTATCTTATATGTAAAGTCAAAATAATTTTATCCTTTTGTGCTCTAGAGCTGCAGAAATCACACCCCAAAAGATTTTTCTACACAAATCCTTAAACTGGGAACAATTAACTATTAAAAGAGGAGTTATTTTGCAATATGATATAACTTCTTGTGGCATGCATTTCATGTCACTGTAGGGAATTTCGATCATTTTCATAAGCCATTATAGAATTTTTGTTGTGAAATGATACTCTTACTTACACTCAGTGGCATCCAGAATATTTTTAAATTGGAGAGATGCAGAAGGTAGTTATCTCCCTTTTTACAGGATGAATTTTCAACACCCTTAAAGGACCTTGAGGGACATGACCAACCCTAATAATATGTTTATCTTCTTTATTTAGAATGCATGGTATTCACCATACTGTTGTTAGCTATTACATTTAGCTTCCTCGAGGTCTAAGGAAATGCACTCTTGCATCTATTTCATTTGTGAAATAAGCACTGACTATTGTCACCACTGGGCTGTCGTGACTCTCAATGGCCTTTACGACATTAGGAAATTTATCCTGTAAAAAGGGACGATAAGCTTCTGCAGCTTTACAAAATAAAATCTATGGGATTAAATGGTTGGTTAGTTGGAGTCTGAGTAATATTTGTTTTTTAATCTAGAAATTTGAAGGCATTGTTCAAGTTAAATTGGCTTAATGTCTTTGAAAGTTTTTAATTAATGTGTATTCAGGATTTTAGGTAATAAAAAAATTTTTTTTTTTAATTCGGTTTATATTTTATGTTATGCTGTGAAAACTTGAAATTGTCTACAACTCTGTATTCTTTGTTTTGAAAATCATATTAAAAAGAAAAAAAAAATGGGAATAACAAAATTCTCTAGATCAACTTACTCTACTCTTGTCTAATGTTAATTTTTATTTATTTCTTTTTTAAAACATTTTTCTTTGGCCCGTTGAATCCTAAGACCTGGCTCTTTGCTGATTCCCGTCCCTGGAGATTTGGGGTAAATTTCATTCCTTTGGAACTTCTTGTAATAAGTAAGCATTGCAGAGATGCAAATATCTGATTTCAAAGTTTTTTGATATGAACTGCCTTATTCAATATATATGTTAGGCTGTGTAATTATTTTTTGGTAATTTGACATCTCTATATTATACCAGTAAGCCAGCATGATGGGTTCAACAGGTTAAAGCTACACATAATCATATTCAGGCCAGTGCATACTACCTGCAAACCTCCTGACCTCAAGTCTGATTAGGGGTGCAGGAGGTGCTTTGTGACCTTCATTATCTTATCAGCTTTTGTATTTTTCTGCCTACATTTATCTATGTTACAAATTAAACTAAGCATAACTATTAAAATATGAAAAATTTTCACAGATTTTGACCTGATTCCAGAGTCATTTTTTTTTTTTTTTTTTTTTTGTCCAAATCTGTGAATTGCTTTTCCTCATGCTACGTCTCAAAAAAAAAAAACACTATATAAAATTCACTATCTTTATTCATAATGTTGAATGTGTTAAAATTATTCAACCCTTTAGCAAGAAAAATCTCATGTTCACATTAAAAATTGCTGCAAAACATTGTTGATTTAAGATGGAATCATCTATTAAGATACGTCTCTAATTTGTATTTAGATACATTGCATGTATTTTCAGTTTTTCTAGTTGAATTGTTCACCAATATTGCATATCAGCTATTATTAGGTTACAATAAAATTTGTATTTTATGTGAATTCTAATTTATGAAAATTGAGATGTAGTAGAGCAGGGGCTCCATATAATAGATTGAGGTGTGAGCGGAGCACGAAACCCTTGCACCAGCCCTGACCACATTCTTTTCTTTTTATGTGCCATGTCCTTTCAGGACGTAGGGGATCATAGCTCTTCAACTCACTCTATCTCTTGCAGCTCTCAACAAGTTGCTTCCCTCTTCTTCCTCCCCCAGACCACATTCTGTCATCTATTTGCTTAGGTCCGCCAGGTATGTCACGCGTTGTTTTCCCTTGTCTCTCTTTCCCTCTATTCGACCCGTGAGTATCAGATTCTTCAGGCCCTCCCTCCTCATTATGTGTCCCAGAAACTTCAGATGCCTCTTCCTGATATTAAGTATAAGCCTCCTCCTTGTTTGCATCCTCTCTAAGACTTCATCATTGCTCACACACTCAGTCCATGATATCCTTAGCATTCTTCTGTAGAACCACATCTCTGTCGCCTTGAGTCTCTTCTTCATCTTTAAGGAAATTGTCCAACATTCGCTGCCATAAAGAAGGATATATGCCATGTAATAGTTTAGTATTCTTTTCTTTGTTACCAAAGATATCCTCCTGTCTCACAGTACTCTGCCCAATTTTTCTTTGACTGATGACCAAATTAGTGTGTCATACTGAAATCATTGGGCAATGTTCAAATGCTGTATTCTTAGTTCAAAGGGAGATAACTCTAAAATGTAATTTTTTTTCCATTCTACAACTTAATAGTTTCTGACGAATTTAAAAGATGAGAGAACAGACTAAAGATGAAAAGTTTATTCACTTTCAAAATTTCCTGTTGGAAACAATCTAAATATATTGTCTCTTAAAATATAGTTTTATATTTAGGCATTATTTATAGGAATAACACACATAAATAGAAAGAGGCATAAGACAAGGATGCATCTTCTCACCAGATTTATTCAACCTATACAGCAAGGTGATCCTAAGAGAACAAGAAGTCTGTCAGGATTTATTATTAGTGGATATAACATAAGATGACACCATGCTGATGACAGATACAAAAAAAAAAACTGTTGGAACCCCTAAACAATGTAGTAAAGGAAAGTGAGAAGAAAGGACTAACCATCATTTGTAAGAAGACAGAATGTTTGGTCATTAGCAAAAGGGACAGCCCAAAATGTGAGCTACAAATTGGAGATGTAAAAATGAAGCATGTACAGAAATTTAATTACCTGGAAAGTGTTTTAACAAAGGATGAAAAATGTAACACAGAAATTTGAGGGTGCATTGGAATAGCAAAAGATGCTTTTTAAAATCTGAATAAAATATTAAGAAACAAAGACAAGTGTGCTTTATCTGTTATGTAATTTCAATCCTCCTATATGGCAGTAAATGCTGGACAATTTACTCAGATGAAGAGGTGACTTGAGACAACAGAGGACTAATTAGAATGATGCTGAGAATAACATAGACAGAACATATGAGTAATAAGGAAGTTTTAAGGGAACTGGTAATGAAAAGGACACTTCTGCTTAGGATCATAAAGTGACTGTTGAAATTTCTGGGACACAATGAGGAAAGAGAGCTCGGGAAATTTGACACTCGCATGATATTAGTGATAGCCAGAGGGGCAGATGAAAACAGTGAGTAAGCTACCTAAATGAGTAGGGAAAAAATGGATGGCAGAACATGAATTGGGAGAGACAAGAGAAAAATATTGCTTATAACTACAAAGGATATGAAGTTATGGAGAGCCATGATTGCCCACATTCTGAAGGCAGATGGCACATAAAGATGTCTTTTTTTATATGTAATATTTAGTTTAATTTTCAGACAAATTTCATATTTAATAATAGTTTTCTCAAAGTCCGCTTGAATTCTATCAAAGAGAAAAATAAATACCATTGAGAAGAAATGAGTTTATAAAAGGTGTGTAAATATTTATGTGAATATTTAATATGGTTTACAACTGACATTTTGTCTGCGTGTGGAAAATCTGAAAATTTTAAATTTTCTAACCAATGGTTTCCTTGCCTACAAGTGTTTTGGAAGTGCAGATTAAACAAGAATTTATTACTGTCTCTGTCCTAGAATAGTTGTTAAATTTTTATACACATTTCATACACTAAATATAACTATTATTATGGGACAGAAGTATTACTATTTAATACCTCTGTCTCACAGTAGTCATTACATTTGCACACATATATCATACGCTAAATGTCACAACTATTATGGGACAGCGGTAGTACATTTTTTAGAAATGCTGATGGTAATGATCATCATCATCAGTTCCATGACTGGTAAGGTTATATGGTCACTACACAATTGAGTACCTGATCATTTACCTACACATGTCTAAAAAAAACCTGAAGAGGTATTTATTTATGTGTAATATGTCACAGGCAAATTGACTTGGCAGAGCCCATCTCTCTCCAGGTCAAACCATAGCTAATGTCCTCTAAATTGAAAGTTTGCCTTGCCCATTGACATATGGCTGTAGATTGCAATGAAGGAACTTTTTCACCCTGAATGTTGACTTCAGTCTAGAAGGCCCTCTGCTCAGCAATGCTTTTTTTTGATTGATTTGTTTTTTAAGGTTTATCAACCTTTTGTGTGTTATTTAAAACTGAAACATATGTTTTTTATGTGCAAGTGAATATAGCGTTAAAATTTTTTGAGAATAACAATGACTGTTCCAGATACAAGTCCTATTTAACCCATAGATGGGAGATCTGTGATGCTTTTGCTATGGTAACTTTTGTTTTGTTATTTGCTACTTGCAATTTTAAATAAAAATATTTAATGATTTTAACAATC